TATGTGTGTATATATATCTCCTCAATATATGTTCCATTCTATATGCATCCGAAGAAGTGGGCTGTAGTCCACGAAAGCTTATGCTCTAATAAATTTGTTAGTCTCTAAGGTGCCACAAGTCCTCCTGTTCTTCTTTTTGTAGAATAAATTGTGATTAATGACTTCTGGTAACAGATCATTTTACTGTAATAGCGAAGATCATAACTTCACAACAAAACTTTTTTTCTTTTTAACCAGTTAATGGCAGCTCTAGCAGCTGTCGGACCACCTAATCCTCGTGCGGACCCAGAATGCTGCAGCATACTGCATGGTTTGGTTGCAGCAGTAGAAACACTCTGCAAAATCACAGAATACCAGCATGAGGCCCGAACCATGCTAATGGAAAATGCAGAACGTGTTGGAAACAGAGGAAGAATAATCTGCATTACTAATGCCAAAAGGTGTTTACAGGATTATGCAATTTTGTGTGTGTGTGTAAATTAATGGTTTTATAAATAGGCTAGATCCTCTGTCTTCTGACTTTTTTTTTTTTCTTTATGTAGTTCAGTATTTTTATTTTGACATATAATGCCTTTAATAGTTAGTTTTTGGCTACCGGTACTTTACAGACAAGTTCTCTCCTAATGTACTCCACCAGGAAAGGTCAGCTGAGGCACTCAAGATAACAGCTCGTTGTTTTACATAAGTGAGCATTAATGGTAGAGAGTTTCCAGGAGAGAGTTGGTTAAAGAGTTTTGGTGGGCTAAGGAGTATAGTAGCGTAGTTCTGTTGGGATTAATGGTTTATGAAGGGTTAGTAATTTTAATACAGAATTAAAGCTTGTCTCCACATGGAGCTATTCAGGAATCAGAGTGTATTAAACTAAATTGGAAGAAGGTACTCTTATTCATGAATAAGGAAGGAGGGAGGGGTGTCTGTACATTCCTGAATAGCTAGTGTGCTTAAAATTCACAACCTATTTTAATCCAAATTAATTTTCAAGTGTAGACAAGTCCTTTACCTATCCTGTGCCTCTTGCTCACAGGCAGAGCAGTCCACAGACGCATAAAAAGTTGCAGATTGGGGCTTAGTGTATAAGATTTGAAATTTTGTTCAATTGTACATGCATCTAGGAAAAAATATAAGGTTGTGTATATTTAATTAAAATTGTACTTTGACTTTTTTAAATATTGCAAAACAAAACTTATTTATACTTTTGTTGAAAAAATTTTAAACTGACATTTGCTCTTATTTGTGCTGCATCTACATGCCAAAACAGTAAGAGCAACATGTTAGTGAAACAAATATAGCCACACAAGTTTTTCAAAAGTCCTTTTGACCTGTAAAAGTAATAAGCCATTTACTAAAGTATTTGGGTTAATTTTTTCTCTTTTTCTAAGGTAATTTTTTCCCCCCCTTCTTTTAGTGACAGCCATGTTCGAATGCTTGAAGACTGCGTCCAGGAAACTATTCATGAGCATAACAAGCTTGCAGCTAATTCAGATCAGTGAGTGTTCAATCTGCAAGCACAGTTTTTCTTATCTCGCATATGCCAACTCTGATGTGCCTTTTACGAAATATTGATCTGTATCAGTGGTGGGCAACTGGCCCACGGGCTGCATGCAGCCCACAGGGTAATCTGATTGCGGGGCGTGAGACATATTGCTGATGTTAACCATCCGCAGGCACGGCCCCCCGCAGCTCCCAGTGGCCGTGGTTCTCTGTTCCTGGCCAACGGGAGCTGTGGGAAGCGGCAGCCAGCATGTCCCTGCGGCCATCGCTTTCTGCAGCTCCCATTGGCCGGGAACAGAGAACCGCGGCCACTGGGAGATGGGGGATCAACACGTCCCACAATCAGATTACCCTGATGGGCCGCAGGTTGCCTACCACTGATCTATATGATGCTGTTTATTGAGAACATTCAAATGGCCCCTCAAGATAAGCTTAACAGATAGGGGAAACTAGATGAGGAAGATACTAAAACACAACCCTGTAGTCTGGGGTCTTGACTTATAGCCATTATGTTTTCCTGTACCATAGCCCTGCACAAGACTGTGCTTCTTTAGATTGGTATCTCTTAAAGCAGGGAGGTATAAAAGAGAAGAGTAAAGAAGATAATTTAGCCCAGCTGTGGAAAACATCTCTGTAACTAATCATTTATCTGAAGATTACCTGATACTGCTGGTGATTAATGCTTTGAGCAATGCATATTGGTGGTAGCACTGAATTAGTTTTACATGCCGGTTACTTTTAGCCTGCAAAAGCTTCTGTGCTTGGAAATTGCTTTTAGTTTTCAAATAGGGTTGTGGGTTTTTTTGTTTTTTGTTTTTTTGTTTTGTTTTGCCTGGTATCTCTGTTGAAACTTGAGAAACAAAATACTGAAGAATCAAAAAAAGGAATGTTATGTTAAATCCCTTTTCCCCATCTTCTGTCTAGCTTGTCTATTTAGATTATGAGCTCTTGAGGGCAGGAACTGTCTATTACATTGTACATGGGGCCTTATCCTGGTTGGCTGTAGGCATTTTCACAATACAAATAAATGTTGTTACTATAATCCACCACATTACATCTAACTTTCATTTCACCGTTTGCATTTTTACAATTTCATAAATATTAAAATGGTACTATGGGTCCCAGGAAATCAGGTTTTTATTTAAATGCTATGTAAAGGTGAAAAGATTTTGTGACTAAAACACGTCACATTGGAAACAATGGAGGATTGGAGGTACAAGATCTGGGTTCTTTTTCCAGCAGCCAAATTTTTCTTGTGAAAACGTTAGGCAAGTTGCATAATGGCTGTGTGTGGAACTCCAGCCATTGGGAGGTGAGGGTGCTCAGCATCGTTCAGGCTATTAATTTCCATTTTTTCTTCTGTACCTAATGGGGATTAATTGATATTTGCAAAACACTTTTAGGAGCAGATCCTCAGCTGGTATCGATTGTTATCGGTTTATTGACTTCCGTGGAGCTATGACAACTGACTTTAGCTGAGGATCTATCTACCCCATTGATACTTAAATGGAAGGTGCTACAGAAGTACAGTATTGTTTCGCACCTCAAAACTCTCAGCTGGAAATCTGACCATATTTTCAATTATAAATTCATAGAATCGTAGGACTGGAAGGGGGTCTTGAGAGGTCATCTAGTCCAGTCCTCTGCACTCATGGCAGGACTAAGTATTATCTAGACATCCCTGACAGGTGTTTGTCTAACCTGCTCTTTAAAATCTCCAGTGACAGAGATTTGTGTGCTTATAAAATGGAATAAACAAACACCAAGTCGTGACAAAACTTACTCAAAAGCAGAATTTGTCTCTGGTGCTTCTGACTAGTGCAGTGTTCAGGAAATCAAGTTAGTCTTGCATGGAAGAGAGTTGACACGAATTATGTGCCATACAGCTGCATTGCTGACCTACTAAATAGAACATTTGATTTCTAAGCCTCATGCAGATCCAGAAGTGTGAATTGGTCTTAATCCACACCTATCCAGTTGGTGAAGATAGCCTTGTTTCAGATCGCTTTAAAAAAGAGGTAAGGAGCTTAAATTGCTTTAAAAAAATGGTACCACTGTACTGAATGTCACAAACCAACTTAGGGCAGATCTACACTTAAAACCCTGCATTGGCACAGAGGAACTGCTTTAGTGCTTAATTGAAGACACTCCTACACCGACAGGAGAGAGCTCTCCTGTCTCTTCCTGAGAGGCAATAGCTATGTTGATGGGAGACGCTCTCCCGTCAACATTGCGCTGTCTTCGCAAGGGTTAAGATTGGTATAACTGTTGCTCAGGGGTGTGGATTTTTCACACCTCTGAGCAACATAGTTATACCTACATAAGTCTGTAGTATAGACCTGGCCTTAGGTAGACAAATACATGCTGAAAATTTAGCAGTAATGTTTTGAATATCCGGTCTCTGGGAAACTATCTGTAAAGGAAGAGGCATATGTGACAGTTTCTGAAGAAATTGACATTTTCAGTGTCTGTTTCTGATAACTATTTTCCCCTCCTTTTGCAATTGGCATGCAGTTATGGTATCTCTTTTGTCAGCCTGCTTGAGTTTTTTTGCTAACTACTGACTTGCAGTAAAGCCATTCATCTTATAGTTTTTGCAGATTGAGCTGTTTAGTGACCTCTTGAAAGGAAAACTGAGTTTTAATTTGTGGAAAGGGAGATTACAGTACAATGAAAAAACAAGACCTACATGAGATATTTACTTCATTGGGACTTCCTGTATCCATGGAAGAACACTTTGCTGGCCACCAGGAACCTCTACTTCCCCATACAAATTTCTGTTGCTGCTGAGCTTGATAGCCTGCCAGAGCATGAATATTGTTAAATGTTACATATATGTTATTCTAACCAACCTATCGGTACTTTGACTAACTGTATTGCACAATATGTTATTTTAAACTTGGCGGATGGACTTGTTTGTATCTTATTCTTTCCACTGACATTTAATTAAAATCTGCTTCCAAGGGGGTGATTTTGCAGGCATGCTTGTGGTGTCTCAGGAGTTGATAAAATCCTATAGTATTTATCCACATACCAATAAAATAAATGTCCTAAAAGAAGAAATTGTATTTTATAAATAATATTGACACATTAAGTTAAAATTATTTTGTATGCTGATATTTTCATTGCTTATTTACAAGTGCATGTTATTGGGCAATCCGTATATTTATAGTGACTGTAGGTCGAAAACCACACATGTACCACTTGGTATGTGCCACTGTGCTCTGCTGTTCTTCAGTCCTGCTATGTTTTATTAATCATAAGGTGTTGGCTGTAACGGAAGTAAAGGAGTATATATATATATATATATATATATATATATATATATATATATATATA